AAGTATCTGATAATATGGTGGAAATTATTTATTTGAAAAATGAAACATTTAAAGATTATTGGTGCATGATGTGTTTTAAGAAATAATAAAACTAAATAAAATCTTCTTCAAACCTTATCGAATTTATTTCCAAATACGTGTTCGACGGCCTAATAACATATTACAATTTACCCATCATGGTTACATTATACATCACTGGTTACTGATTCCTGGTATACGATCTTATCACGTAATATCTTAGTTGATAAACGATAATAAATGCGGGTTAACTAAACGATAATAAATGCGGGTTAACTGTTGTTTGTTGTTTATGGACGAGATTTATTTGTTTTTGCAACTGAACTTTAAAAAATTCCTATTTCTTCTTAATAAATAATAAAAAACATAATAATTAATAAACAACAGTAATTTTATGTTAATGTCATAAAAAATGAGACATTGTTTGCCAGAATTACAGATGAATATACTTACTAAACACAAAACATAAAATAGTATAAAATGTAATATTAAATCGAATCAAACCATACTCAAGGGAAGTAGGATATTATCAGTCAAAATTTTTTGGGCTCAAAAGGAATGAACTGGAGCATACGTTTGATCATAATATGGAAACCAGACAATAATTGTTTGAGGAATTACTGAGTCAGAGTAGACCCTAAGCTCAAATATATATGTATATATGTTTACTTACTCTATATTATTCTTAACGATGTATTAAAATTTTGTTAGTTCTTTAGCAAAATTATCTAATAGTCTAAGAGTGCCACGGATAAAACTTTCAAACATTTATGGGTAATGTTAAATTTCACCGAATACTGACATTCTGAAGTAATTTTTTTTTTTTTTTTTGATTATCTTTCCCCATTATTTATTTGGTATTTATACAATGTATTATTTACTGACGTGCTTCTTTGAAAAACCGACTCGATTTTTTAAACTTTTTCGAGAATACGAGATTCTAATGTTAAAGCACCTTTCACAGACAAATTTAAAGTGTGAGCAAAATGGCTGGTGTCGAATTGGTTCCCAAGCTCCAATCCCACGTGCCGAATTGGTTCCCGTCTGAAAATGATATTTTAATAGGTATAGCCGAATTGGTTCCTGTTTGTGTACAGGTAAAATAGTGATAATTTTAATTTTTAATAGTGCATAGAGAGCAAAAAACAAAATTTTAAAACTATATGTATGACATATAGACACAATTATTATATCGATAAGATAGAGAATAGAAATATAATAGACTATATATTACTAGAGAATAGCAAATCACTAGCAAACAGGAAAGAAATAACAAATACTTGGAAAAATGTATGGCTGAGTACATTAATAAGAAGATTACGAGAATTTAATATTTAAAGAAAGTTAGCTTCAGACTTGCAAATCAGTGGTCTTAAATTGTATTTATTATATTTAATTATTTGTATTTCCTACACCTAATTGTAATGATGTACATCATTCGACTGTGAAAGACAGCACAAATATTTTATTATGTATACTATTTATATGTACGTTATTTTTAAACTTTTTCAAATAAATAAATAATGGTATCTTCGATACCCGCGCGAACGACACGGGTCGAACAATACATACTATTGACATCCCTACATTCAAAAGACAGGCCCAAGGACCATGCCACCGCATGTGTCTATATAACAGGGACACACAACACCCTTCACAGGATTTTTGATCTTAGGTCGTCAGTGCATGCGCATCGATCATAAGATCAACGACGAGCTTATACATGCGATTTTTTTTGACTTATTTAAGTTTAATTTAAATAAAAAAATATTAAATTATTTTAATCCATTCGAATTGTGTTCTTCGTACGAGTGTTGATGAGTATCCGATTCTAGTACTATTAAATTCTGCATTTATCCTTTCTTTTTCAACCTCGCATTGACATCAGAAGGTCTACGGCAAAACAAGTAAATGCTGCTTTATTTGGCTTGGTAGACTGCATAATTGCACTGATCAGCTATCGAACCCTCTCAACCCTGAGAGCTCTCCCTTAAACAAGGAGGAAGGTGACAACCCATTAATACCTCACCACAATTCACATATATACCACATCCCCATATTTACATCTCACCCTTACTTCTTCTCCCAACCTAATTTTATTTTTTTGTATATTTGGGTTATTACATAAGTAATAACTAGTTGGCTTCCAAATCAACGATTTAAAATTGTATATATTTTATCATTTTTTTAAAATGCCTTTTTCAAACGGAAACAAATTGGGTTACTCCCAGCAAAATATCCAAACTGTTTAAACTTATATAGGGATAAAACTCTTTTTATATTATTTTCATTGTCTAATGATAAAATTATAATATTATCAGCTAATATTATTTTGGTATTTAAGTTCAAAGTATTTAATATAAAATCTATTATAACATAAATTCAAAGTTGTATGGTTTTCAGAAACTTCATGACAGCCCAATAAAACAGATATTAGTGTAAGATTGTCGTTAATAAAATGAAACGTAATTGAACAACTACCAGTGTTGTGAATTATCTAAATAATTTTATCTAAATGATTTATCTAGATAAAAACATTAATATTTTTATCTTATCTAGATAATAATAATATAAAGTATCTTTTTATCCATCTTTTTAATTAAAATTTTTATCTAAAATAAATTATCTAGATAATTTTGAAAAAGATAATTTTTTATTTGTGGGAAGTGAAACGAGGAATAATAAACACTTAGTATTAACGTATGTACGTTTTAAATTTTAAATGTACATATTCTATAAATGAAGAAAAGTTATTGTAAAATTATTTACACAGAAAATATATAAGTGAATGTATTTCAAATAATAACATTCAATTTTATAATAATTAATTTTTTTTTCTCGATAATCGACGACTGGGCGATAACAGCAACACTAGGCCATACACTGCTCAATGTTATTAATGCCCTAATAGCTAATATTATACTCATATAATCATAATATAGACAATAACTATGTGAACACATGGATATAAAACGTCAATCTTTGATTTGAACGTTCCATAAATAACAAGCCACAGCCATTTTCCTTCACTGTCCATTTTCCTCAACAAAAAAAAAAAGATTAGTTTCCATTTTCCTTCACATTATTTTTGACTAAAATTATGTCTATTATGCTCCAATATTTTAGCCAATGTTGTAAGATCACATTTGTGCATATCTGTTGATTAAATTCTTGTCGCGTTCTTATCGACTGGGGAAAAACGCTGGTTCAAGTGTCCGACTGTTTGTTTTGATTTTTAATCAATTTATATGATTCACGCATCGCATGATGAGAAAAAAAATATCGAACAAATATAAAAAAATAGCAGTTACAAACCAATGATAGCCATTTAGTCATAGAACGATTTTAATAAGTGTTGCTTAACATGGGAATTATTTTAAGTTACATCGTTTTAATAGTTGATTTACTTTAATATTTTAAAGTGTAATACTCGAGTAAAACAATAACGCAATAGACATATTCACAAGAAACAAATAATTACAACATTGTCACTTAATGGTATGTCACAGAATAAATCTGAGTGTGTAATGACGCATAATAAATTACACAAAATAGAAATTCATATAGGACGATATAAACAACATTTATTTTTAGTGTTTATAACTTATAAACATTAAAATTTTGATTTAGAAATTAAAATAAAATATTAACACACAAGTACTACATATTGCAGTGGCGCAACCAAGGGGGGGGTCCCCGGGTCCAGACCCCCCCTTGGGTATTTATTAAATGGAAAATGTTTTAATCAATTTGGGAATATAATAATATATTATAAGTATAATACATTTTGTTAACCTACTAAATAATTTTGATAACAAACCATTATCATAGCAGTTATGACATATTGTCATTTTCTCTTATCTTAATCTGTGATATCCATGGAGTAGTAGTAGTAGTAAGTTGTAGGAGACGTAGACCGTGGCGAGAATCGAAAATCGAACTTGTGCTACCAACCATTTTAATCGTAGTCATAGACATTAACTTAAACGAGTTTACTTCATAACGTTTATGATAATCGCTTATTGCAATATATTCGTAATATTTTAACCTACTCCTACAATTATGGTCCTACTAACGTACCGTATTATCAAACAAGAATTTGCTTTTTTTTTTATCTCAACTTAACGGTCGTAAACGGTTGTCCAGTTAATATAAAATTTTATTTTTCTGTTCTATTCGTATTTTGTACTTTATACTTTCATTATGAAACGTATAAATACATATTTTAAAGTATTAGATTCATCAGAATCAAATTCTAAACTTACTACTAATGATGTTCAAACTTCTAATACAGAAACAGTGAGTGTAGTTGACCATAGTATTTTCGATATTAACATACATGTTGGTAAAAAATTGAACGATGCTGAAAAAATTAAATACTTAGAAAACATCTGGATTCCAGCTAAGACTTTTTCATTTCCTTCTACTGAGCATGGCAAGAAACTATTAAAATTTCAATATAGCTGGCTAGAAAAATGGAATTGGCTTGCTTATAGTAAAGTAAAAGATGGCTGTAAATATTGTGTGCTTTTTTCTCAATCAAAAGGTGGTAAGGGTAATCAGCCGCTTGGTCAGCTTTGCACAGAGGCTTTTAATAAATGGAAGCATGCTGTAGAACGGTTTAATAATCATGAAAAAACGAATTATCATCAAAATAGTGTTATCGATTTTCAATCAGTTTCTGCAATTGTTATAGGAAAATCCGATTCAGTTTATCATCAATTAAATAAAGCTGAAAAAACTCAAAAAGAAAACAATCAAAAAATTATTATTCCAGTAATTGATTCGGTACTTCTATGTGGTCGACAAGGCATTGCACTTAGAGGTCATCGTGACTCTGGAGTTCTTAAACTTGAAGATCCAATTATAAATGAAGGTAATTTTAGGGCGTTATTGAGATTTTTTCTTAAGGCAACTGCAACATCCGGCGATAAAAGTTTTATATTAGCAAGAGAAAATTGTGCTAGAAATGCACAATACATAAGTTGGAAAATACAAAATGAAATTGTTAGCATCTGTTATGAAATTATTTCATCAAAAATTGTAAAAAGAATTAATGAAAGTAATTTTTTTTCAATAATAGCGGACGAAACAGCTGATATATCGGGTACTGAACAATTTGCTCTATGTGCCCGTTATTATGATAAGAAAAACAAAAATATTCATGAAGATTTTTTAAAATTTATTCCGGTACATGATGTGAGTAGTAAAAGTTTAGCGAATCATATAATTATTGAATTAAAAGAATTGAATGTCGATGTAAACAATCTACGAGGTCAAGGTTATGATGGGGCGGCAAGTATGTGGGAGTATGTATGAGCACTCATACCATGTATGAGTGGGAGATTTAATGGAGTTGCAGCTTTAATCAGAAATGATCATCCAAGTGCATTGTATGTGCACTGTAGTGCCCATAATCTTAATCTTTCAGTCTCAAGTGCATGTAATATTCAAGGAATACGGAATTCTATGAACACAATAGAAACATGTTATAATTTTTTTAACACTCCGAAGAGACAACAGTTTTTTTCAACACATTTAGAAAAACTAAAACAAAACGAATCTTCATCTCAAAAACAAAAACTTAAACGATTATGTCCAACTAGGTGAATTGAGCGTTATAACTCAATTAAAACATTTTATGAATTTTTCCCTGCAATTTTAAATTGTTTAGAAGAAATAATTATGTGGAATGACAGTGATACATCAAGTAAAGCAAATCAACTTCTATTAGCACTACAAGCATCGGAATTTAATGTAGCCCTGACTATTCTTAATTATGTTTTTCAGTATACTCATTCGCTATGTAAATATTTACAAACCACAAATATTGATTTAGTTGAAGCTGTTGAACATATAAGTTTAGTGAAAAAAAAATTAATGTCCATAAGAAAAAACGTTAGTATTGAATTTAACAAACTATATAATGATCCTAATGAAAGATTAAATGATTTTGAAATTAAAATTGAAATTCCTCGATTAGCTAAACGCCAAAAACACCGCATAAATATTTCAATAAATGATCCTGAAGAATATTTCAAAATAGCTTTATTTATTCCTTTTCTTGATTCGTACATTCAACAACTGAATGATCGTTTTATAAATCATAAAAACATTATTAGTGGATTTCAAATGTTGATGAACAGTTCAACATTCAATGAAGAAAGACTTAAAGAACTTGTTGAATTTTACAGTAATGACATTGATAGTTTTGATATTGTGAAATCAGAAATTTTACTATAGAATCGTTATCTAGATGATAGTAACATTAAAACAAAAAATGCCATCAACATATTGAATAATTGCAATTCAGATTTATTTCCAAATGTGTTTAAGCTCTTGCAAATACTGGTCACACTTCCTGTCACATCTTGCGAAGCTGAAGGATCATTTTCAACACTCAAACGTATTAAAACTTATTTAAGAAACTCTACGTCCGAATCGAGATTGAATGGACTAGCTGCTCTCAATATTCACTATGATATTGACGTCAAATCCGAAGAATTAATACAGCGTTTATCAAATTTAAAGCGTCGTTTAGACTTTATTTTATAATTTTATTTCATATATTTTCATTATATATATATATATATATATATATATATATATATATATATATATATATAT